AAATGACAAGTGTCCTGTTTCTCACCCCTGTTTCTTCTGTCCGCTATCACCAGTCAAACCTGACCCTACGTTGATCCCAGCCCTTCCTCCTTTCTAGGAATCCCCAGCCTGGCATTATTTGCACAGGAACCTCCATTATCTTAGCCAGACTGGGAGCTCTGGGAGGGTGGAGCCGGGCACCCTCACCATCCCTGCTTCCTGGCTGACCTGGTGGCAAGAGAGCACCACCACTAGTGAGGCCAGTTGAGAAAGAGCAGAGTAGGCAGGGAAGGAAGCTTGAAGAGTCTGAAGACCTGTGTTCTGGAGCCGACCAGAAAGCTCTGCATCCTCAGGTCAACCTGTTTAACCACGCTAAGCATCAGTTTCCTCGATAAAATGTGGAAGTTTCTGTCTTGCCTCCTTCATTGGGTTTTTATGAGAAATAGTGAAAAAAAAAAAACTTTGAAAACTATGAAGCAAAATCCAAAAATAGGTCAGTTATTCTAGTCCCTGGGCCACTGTCTCCTAAAAGCGTGGGAAGTCCCCTAAGAGTGGCCAGCGAGTAAGGGCCTCCCTTGTAGGTGTGGCTGGAGGGCACATTCAGCAAGGGAACCTGAAGAGACACAGCCAGGAGAGAAACAAGCGGGGTTGGGTTTTGTGTTTTCTCCTGATCTCTAGTTTGTGAAAAGGAACTCTCTCCTGGGTTCCGAAAGGAAATGCCCGCCAGCCCCTGCCCTCCCCACCTTGGGTACAAAATCAGCACATTGGAAGGAACACAGAGGCCAGACTGCACTGCCCACAGGGAAAGCAGGGTGGGAAACCCGTGGGCAAAACGTGGGTATGTTCAAATCTCCCCCGTTATGTTCACAATATGCTTAAGCAATTAAGAGAAAAAATCTTAACTTGCTTAAGCTGTAAAAGGTTAAAAAAGCTCAGTTTTCTGAGTGCTCCATAAATAATCTGTGGGATGAATGAAAGCCCTGGAAGGGTATAGCACGTCCCACTTAAGTTGGTAACTTGGTCACAGAAAAATCACATCTTGATAGAAAATTGCAGGTAAAAATGATGGCGGGAGAAATCTCGGGAACTGCCTGGACAGGGTATCTTCTTTGTTCCATTTCTATCTCACAGAGGAATAGATACTCAACTCAGCAAACCACAAATAGGCTAGAGATGTCCTTTGAAAAGACTGGAGTGCCTGCCTTCAGAGCAGCTAAAACACGCGCCTGACAGCACGGTGGCCAGTGAGCTGACCTGTCACTCTTGGTGGACTGCCCAGGACAATTTTGCCATTAGAGCTGGATATATTCGGTAGCTCGGAAGAGGCACTGACGTTAGTCATTTGGGGGAAAGTCGCTGTTTGCTGAACGTTCCAGCAAATGTTGTGAATAGGTTTTGCTTTTACTTTGAATCACATGGAGGGAGAGGTCCCTAATTCTTTCCAGCCAGAGGCTTTGCTCCAGTCAAAGGTCCTGCCAAGCCACAAAATTCCTGTCTGGTTAGTGAGGCCACTGAGCATCAGAAAAAAATGGAAATTAGTTCACAGTTTGAGCCTAGGAGACTTATTCTATCACATTGACTAAAAACCAGTTGAGACCAAAAAAAGGATGAATCTAATTAACTCTTACTTGCTCAGTCTTCAGTATGAAGATACAGGTATAATTTGGTTTTTAAAACTATATAAAGCTTGTATTATTATATGTTTTTTAAGACAAATAAAACTGAGCCGAGCATATGGTGGCAGGTGTCTATAGTCCCAGCTACTTGGGAAGTTGAGGTAGAAGAATCATTTGAGACCAGCCTGGGCAACATAGTGAGACCCTGTCTCTAAAATACCCCAAATAAATAAAAAACTGGGATGACTTGAGAGTCTCATTTCCTCTGTTTCCCATACCTGAATGCCTGGCCTTTGGAGAATCTACTCCCCTGGGCAAATCATGATTGCCTCATGGAACTCAAACCGTAAGTGATAGAACATCAGTCATGGTAACGCCCCTGTTCCCACTTTCTATCATAATCCTTTCTTCAAAGTCTACCAAGATTCTCACTTGGGAGAGAAATACTCTTTCCTGTCTCTCTCATGGATTTCATTGATAGAGCCACCACGGTCCCTCACTCAGCATGTCCCTTCCCTTGTCTGCTGTCCCCAGGATAATGGATCAAAATGTGTCTGGGAAATGAAAAACTTCATGAACACAGTAGAGACTTTTGATCACCTACCCGATGGCAGCTGCTAGAACTACAGGCACAGAGTGAAAAGAAATACTTGATGGCTAATGAAACAGTGTCATGCAAATGAAACCCAATTCTGCAGCGGCAAGCCTCAGTAGACACAGAGGTGCCGCCTAACAGCTGCACATGACTTTAACGTGACTTTCACCAACCAGCCTCTGCTGCTTATGGACATTTCAGAAAGCATTTTATGACTTGCTTTCCCTACAAGTGGTGTAGGCTCAGATCCCTGTTAGGACCAAATGTCTCTTCCTTTATCACCTGTTTCACTTCTCTTCACCTGTTTGTCACTTTCTCTCTCTCTTTTTTTCTTTGAGACAGAATCTTGCTTTGTCGCTCCAGCCAGAGTGTGGTGATGCCATCATAGTTCACTGCAACCTCAAACTCCTGGGCTCAGAAGATCCTCCTGCCTCAGCCTCCCTAGTAGCTGGAACTACAGGCATGTGCCACTGTGCCTGGATAATTTTTCTATGTTTTTGTAGGGATGGTGGGGGGGTGGGAGCCTTGCTATGTTGCTCAGGTTGGTCTTGAACCTGTAAACTCAAGCAATCCTTCCAAATCAGCCTCCTAAAGCGCTAAGATTATAGACATATGAGCCACTGCACCTGCCTAGGACTTTCACATGAGGCAAACCTTCCTCTTAACGGGGACACGGGTTCTGTTAAATGATTCCGCTGCTCAGAGGGGAAGCTGAAGGCAAAGACAAAACTCCCCTTTTCCCTGAGTGATGAGCCTATGCCCCACCACCATTCTCCTACCTTTGTTAGTTCTGTACCTGGTATTTGTTGGTAGAATTGAAGGGAATCTCTGCCACCTTTGGGTATTTTTCTCTCATCTCCGCCACAGAACCGTGAGACTGCTCGATGAATTTGAGGAGGGCTGACTCAGAGGCATCACCCGTTGTTGCCCTCTGCCAGGATAGGGTTTGTATAATTAGCCCCCGGGGCATGCTACCTGGGCATGGGGCAATAAGGATGAGGGTGGAATAGGGGAGGGAGGGGTGCCTGGGGAAATCACCAAGTGCCAGGAAAGAGAATTTTTAGGAGGGGGCAGCTACCCTGGACACCAAGCTACCCCTTCTCCCTCTTAGGCCTGACACCTTAGCCACGGGCACGGTCTCCTGCTGAGGCTTAAAGTCAGCCCGGTTGCAGAGGCCAGCGATTCTGGCCAGGATAAACCAGGTTTCTGAGCCTTTGGCAAATGATCTCCCTAGGGAGAAAAAAATGGAAGACATGTGAGTTAGGAGATAAGAGAGTTTAGAACAAGGAATTATTCCCATCCTGTTTCATACCCCCAAACTTTCCAGAGGTAACAATCCTTTCCTCCACACTGCCCTTGTCTTTCCTCTGCTTTCAGCCTCTCTTCTCTGCGTCTGGACTCAGCACTCCCTCTCATCTCCCTCACCACACGCACCACTCCCTCCACTCTTATTCCACCAATACCACTAGTCACCAGTCTGTTCTTCGCTGGTGTCAGCCTCATACACGACCCTATCGAACCACAAGTGGGAGACCGTCATGCGGTTCTGGGTGAGGGTGCCGGTCTTGTCCGAGCAGATGGTGGACGTGGAGCCCAGCGTCTCCACCGCCTCCAGGTTCTTCACCAGGCAGTTCTTCTTTGCCATGCGCTTGGCTGTCAGGGTCAGGCACACCTACCGCCAAGGGCAGAGAACACACAGAAGACACGGACTGTTTGCATTTTGGGAAAATTGGTCACTTTTATAGCTATTTTAATTTTTTGTACTTATTTCCCTTTTGTTCCCACCTACTCTTTAGAAATTCCATCTGTGGCTGAGGTAAAGGAAAATTAGAAAAGTGGCCTTGGTTTGTGCTTTATGGCAAGAGTTCCAAAAGGAACGTATTCATTTACCAGCGTACCAGAGAACGATCCTCCTCCTTCCCCCGGAAATGTTCCTCTCCCCCATTGTTCTGACTCAGCAGCTTCTTTTCTATTTAAGTTCAGGCCACACCATACAGACCAGATAGACCATGTAGACCGCTAATCTCTGATTGTGCTATTAGATGCTGTATGTGGAGGGGGCTGTACCAGTAGTTTAAAAAAAGAATGGGGAGGAGCTGACGGTGCTGGGAAAGAATATCACAGCTTTGAAAAGGACTTAAAAAATCATTTAAGCTGAAAGATTTTTCTTTTCTTTCTTGAGGCAGGGGCTCACTATGTCGCCCTCGGTAGAGTGCCGGGGCATCACAGCTCACAGCAACCTCAAACTCTCGGACTTAAACAATTCTCTTGCCTCAGCCTCCCAAGTAGCTGGGACTATAGGCGCCCACCACAACGCCCAGCTATAAACTGAAAGATTTTGATCATAAATTCAGTGTAAGCCAGGTATGTGGCAAGGTTGTTTTAAAAGCTAATGAATTGTTAGGCTGTGATTTTGTAAGTATGGAATTCTAATCATAGGACTCAGGGCTATAATTTATTAATGCCATGGCGTTACAGCTCACAGCAACCTCAAACTCTTGGCTTAAGCGATTCCCTTGCCTCAGCCTCCCAAGTAGCTGGGATTACAGGTGCCTGCCACAACACCTGGCTACTTTTGTGTTGTCATTGTCATTGTTGTTTTAGCGGGCCTGGACTGGTGTATGTGGCAGTGTATGTGGCTGGCACCCTAACGACGGAGCTACGGGCACTGAGCCTGGTCCCCAGTGTTTTCATGCTAGTCCAGATGTACCCTGAACATTATTCTCATTTCTATTTTAAGAAGAATATTGATAAACTGGAGCATACCCCAAACAGGTGATCAGTAAGGCAAGAAGTCTGAAGACCATGCCATAGGAAGAATGGCTAAGGGAAAAGGGATTGTTTTACCTTCTATCCAGAGAGTTTTGAGGGGACATATGGCTACCATCAAAAAACTAATGGGGTAGTCTGTAGAAGAGGGAGAATTAACTTATTTTAAGTTTCTTCAACTGGCAAAACTAGGACTAAGCAGGGCATCGTATAATGCTCAACATAATGAAATGTAACAAGAGCAATCCAACAAGAAAATGAACTGCGACAAAAAGAGGTGGGCTTCCCATTACTAGAAATATAATAATTATCTTGCATGGATGTTTTTAGAGGATATTCAGCTTTTGAAGACCTTTGAAGTGCTCTCCAGTAAACCTCTATAACTCTGAATTAATTTTTCTCTATAAATTGAGGCCTGGAGATGTTAAGTGATTTAGACAAGTTCACCAGGCAGAACTAGAACTCACTCCTGGTGACTTATAATCCAATTCTTTTTCCATTGAAACTTGTTTCCTTTCTCACTGAGGAGAAAGAGAAGGCACCAGAAAACATGGGCAGAGGAAGCCAATGTAATATTAGGAGCTAAATTATTCCTGACACCTGTACACACATCGGGAATACTCTGCACTTGAGAATTTCAACAACAGAAGAGATACTCGTGGTTTCATTTCCCTGGGGTTCCCCGAGGCCACCTTCCCACCTGGCTACTCACAGTGACTGTGGCCAACAGCCCCTCAGGCACATTGGCCACAATGATGCCAATAAGAAAAATGACAGCCTCCAGCCAGCTGTAGCCCAAAATGAGTGATAGCGCAAAAAAACTGACACCAAGGAAGATGGCCACCATAGTGATCAGATGGATGAAGTGTTGAATCTCAGCAGCAATGGGGGTCTGGCCCACTGCCAGGCCTGATGTCAGGGAAGCAATTCGGCCCATCACTGTGGAGTCTCCTGTTGCAATGACAATACCCTGAGCTGTCCCTGTGGATGAAGGGAGAGGGACAATGTGACTTTGTGATATAATAAGACATGTATATATTGGTCTCTTCTCCCAGCTCCTGACATAGAGTTCCTGAAATACTTTGGGAGAGGGGTGGTAGGAGAATATTTTGTTTTCATGTTTGTTTTTGATGCAGATTCTCAACAAAGAGCTCCCAAGACCTTCATAATTCCTGGAGGGGTAGGAATGTCTGACACAGAACTCCTAAATCTCTGTTTCCTGTGTCACAGGAGAATCTTTGTTCTAGTGAGGTGACTCTTGGTTGGTTCCTTGGAGCCTCTTCCAAGCCCCTTCCCACATGCCTTGCTTGCCCTGTGCATCTATTCTGTCTGGCTGGTGTTGGTACCCTTTGTAGTATCCTTTATAGTAACTGGGTACGTGTAAGTAAAGTGTTTCCCTGAGTTCTGTGAGCTGCTCTAACAAATTAGGCAAACCTGAAGGGGGGATGTGTGGGAACCCTGATTTACAGTTGTCAGTCAGAAGTATAGGTCACAACCTGGGACTTGTGACTGATGTCTGAAGTTGGGGACAGTCTTGTTAGGACTGAGTCCTCAACCTGTGGGATCTGATGCTATTTCCAGGTAGATCTGTAGTCCCAGCCCTGGGCCATAGACCAGTACCAGTCTGTGGCCTGTTAGGAACTGGAGGTGCAGGAGGTGAGCAGCAGGTGAGTGGAGTTCTTGTGTATTTACAGCCACTCCCCATTACTCACATCACCACCTGGGCTCCGCCTCCTCTCAGAGCAGTGGCAGCATTAGACTGTCACAGGAGCAGGAGCCCTACTGGGAACTGCGTGTGGGAGGAGTCTAGGCTGTGACTCCTTATGAGAATCTAATGCCTGGTGATCTGAGGTGGAGATGTAACAAGCTTGAATCATCCCCAAATCATCCCCCACCCCCTCGTCCATGGAACAATTATCTTCCATGAAACTGGTCCCTGGTGCCAAAAAGGCTGGGGACTGTTGAGGTAGATTGTGTCTAAACTGAATTGAATTTTGGAACACCCGGTTCATGTCTTCTGGAAAATTGGTTGTTAGTGGGGAGAACTCCTCACACATGCTGGATGTAAGAGTTCTGTGTCCAGTGTGACTTTAGGGAAAGAGGAAATAAAACTCTTTCTTTTTTTAAGCAGAGGTAGTCACTCAAGGTGTGCCAAGTCTGAGTCGGCAAGGCTGTTGGGTGTGGGTCCCACAAAGAGAAAGTTGTCAATGGTCAAAAACAAAGTGGAAACTCAAGGCCCTCTGGGAGGTCATGGTGTTCTGTTCTCCTTACATTTGGTTTATACAAATACAGGTCTCCTAGTCTAAAAAGTCTCTGAAGAGATTTCACATTCTCCAGAGATACCCAATTTTATTACCTAATTGCCTTCACTGTCAAGAAGGCCTTCATTACACTTTATTTAAATGTCTTTTGAGGCTTGTGTGTTTCCTGCTTTGCCCTTGTTACCTGTCTGGTAGCATCCTATGTTCATCTTCTAACATCTGCTCATCCTCTAACCTGGTAGTTCTCACCCCACCCCCTGCTCCTGGCAACATTTGGCAATGTCTGCTGTCCCTTTTGGCCATCACAAATGGGGTGGAGAGGGCTGCTACTGGCAACTGGTAGGTAGAGGCCAGTGATGCTGCTAAACAACCCACTGTGAGTAATGCGCCCCCCCCACACACACACACAAAGACTTGTCCAGCCCCAAATATCAGCGACTGAGAAATCCTGCTTTAGCCTGAGCCCCCTCCCTGCCTTGCTGGCTGGAGTCAGTCTGACCTCTGCTGGGTAGCACAGGCCATAACAGCTGGACTTCTGGGCCTGTCAGGGTCTTCCTTTTCTCTCTATTGGCACCACTCCTGAGTCAGAAGGGCAGCTGGAAAACATACTTGGCTTCACACATGCAGTCAGAAGTATAGGTCACAACCTGGGACTTGTGACTGATGTCTGAAGTTGGGGACAATCTTGTCAGATTGTGTCCTCAACCTATGGGATCTGATGCTATTTCCAGGTAGACTGCAGTCCCAGCCCCAGGCCATGGACCAGTACCAGTCTGTAGCCTATTAGGAACTGGGCCACACAGCACCTGTATAACCACACAATGCTAGTCACTTGTCAGCACATCTTGAAATGAGGTGCAATACAAGATTCTTTGTTTAAAATAATTCTTCCTGTCTTACCATAATGATTGAAATTTCTACTATTAAAGTTACAGGATCAGTCAGAAAAGCAACATATTATAGAAATACCACTTATTGGCTTGGTGCCTATAGCTCAAGTGGCTAAGGCGCCAGCCACATACACCTAAGGTGGCGGGTTCGAATCCAGCCCGGGCCCACCAAACAACAATGACGGCTGCAACCAAAAATAGCCAGGCGTTGTGCAGGCGCATGTGGTCCCAGATATTTGGGAGGCTGAGGCAGGAGACTCACTTGAGCCCAGGAGTTGGAGGTTGCTGTGAGCTGTGATGCCACAGCACACTACCCAGGGGGACAGCTTGAGGCTCTGTCTCCAAAAAAAAAAAGAAAAGAAATACCACTTATTCTAAAAGCAGAAAGACTCAGGGCTAGGAGTTCAAACTTTCCTAATCACTAGCTCTTTTCCCTTGGGCAAGTCGCTTCACTTCCCTGGGACTCAGACTTCCTCATCTTGAAAATGGGATGAAAGCACCCACAAAGTAGTGAAAATGAAATGCCTTTTTTTTTTTTTTTTTGCAGTTTTTGGTCGGGGCTGGCTTTGAACCCACCACCTCTGGTATATGGGACCGGCGCCCTACTTCTTTGAGCCACAGGCACTGCCAGAGAATGAAATGCTTTTAAAAGATCCTAGAGGAAGATTGGCCACCTAATAAGTGGCCAATGAATTTAGGGTCTCCAGAATGATTGATATGAAATTATACATGTGACCCAGGAGAGGCAGCTTTAATCCTAGAAGCCCCCACCAACATCCTAACTTAGGGCAGCTAGCAGTTGCCATTTCTAAGGTCAGCTTCAGCTAATGAGTCTGAGCAGGGTCTTACTCATACAGCAGATAGGTCAGGTCAATGTTTTTGTGGAAAAGGAATTCTGGAAAGGTTCACAGTATGAAGCACTCTATAGATAAGCTTCAAACTGGTTACCATAGACGTTCACTGGGTCTGGTGGAAAGATGATACAAAAATACTTGCCAGATGCTGAAGAGTTTCATATTTTTGGTGGGGTGGGAAGATGATAGAGTGTATGGTATTATCTATTCCTATTTTTTTTTTTTACCATGGTTTAATCTAGTTCTTCTTTTTTTGAGACAGAATCTCACTCTGTTGCCCTAGGTAGAGTGCCATGGGATCATCATAGCTCATAGCAACCTCAAACTCTTGGGCTTGAGCATTCCTCTTGCCTCGGACTCCTGAGTAGCTGAGACTCCAGGTGCCTACCACTATGCCTGGCTAGCTTTTCTATTTTGAGTACAGACAGGGTCTCACTCTTGCTCAGGCTTAGTCTAGTTCTTCATTTTTATTCCTTCTACTATGACTTCCCCGGGCTTGCAGACAGGTTATTCCCTTTATGTCTAAATATGGGATGGTTTGATGTCAACATGGAAAGGTTAAAAAGGTTGAGCATCTCATATCCCACACCTGGCTCCTTCATATACCTTCCCACTATTGCCAGAGAAGAGCTTAGGCTCCGTTGATGATGAGAGAAGTTTGAAACACAGCCTTGTCAAGGTCCATGGTGATGAGAGTTGGGAGGCCAAGGTAGAGGTTAAAGTTATGCTTCTAGTCTGTAAATTGCAGAATAATTCCTCAGTTCAACAGTCAAGAGCTCCTTCAACTTATTCCCACTCTCTTGGCCATGTCTTGGCTTCTCTTTGTCTACTATGCTCCCCTTTCCACCTAAACAGACCATTCTTGGTGCAATGCCTCCGAGCATTTGCCTCTATCCCCCATCTGAAGCATGTACTTAGCTGGTGAAAAGCTTACTTTGGAAGGGCAAATCAGGGCAGGATTTATTCCTAAAACCTAATATAGAAATCTAGCGTCTTTGGAGATAGCTCATTAACTTGCGTCTTTCTGTCCAGTCAAGGTTTAAGAAATTATTTTAATATGTATATTTTATTTTCCAACTGGATTCTTCATGATGGTCTATTCAGCCTTAAAATTACTCTTATCCTTTAAAACGTTTTCAGATTAAATACTTAATTACCAGAGAGGTCATGAGCGATCTTTTGGTGCAGAGGAGGCACTGTGGGAAGAGCATGGGCTTTGAAGACAGACCTACATTAATATTCCTGACCTTCCCCTTTTCTGTTAAGTTGGACTCTTGGGCATGGCACTTAATTTCTTTGAACCTGAGTCTTTCATATGTAAAACAGGGATAATATCTGCTATACACCATTGTGAGATTCAGAGAGGTAATATCTAGAACATTTGACACATACTATGCATTCAATGAAAAATAGGTATTTCTAAATACCCCAACATTGATTCTTAAGCATGAATAATGGTTTTTCAAGTGTGTTCCAGGTAGCCTTTAGCCTTCCTTAAAGCAAAAGGGCAGAACAGAGATTGACATAATGATATTGAGTCCCTTGTCATCAGTTTTGTTTGTTCATTTGTTTATTTCTAGAGATAGAATCTCACTCCAGAGGCCAGGGTGCAGTGGCACAATCAAAGCTCACTGCAGCCTCAAACTCCCGGGCACAAGAGATCCTCCCATCTCAGTCTCCTGAGTAGTTGGGACCCAGGTGCATACTACTACACTTGGGTTTGTTTGGTTTTTTTTTTTAGTTTTTGTAGAAAAACTCACTGTGGTTGCCCAGGGTCTCACTATGTTGCCCAGGTTGGTCTTGAACTTCTGGCCTCAAGTGATCCTTCCAGCTTACCCTCTAAAGCAATAGGATTACAGGTGTGAGCCACCACATCCGGCCCCTCGATACCATTTTGGCCAGAAGTACCTCTCCATCCATGGAGCAAAGTTTGAGTGGCAAAAACTAAGTGGCACCTCTGGTAACTCAAATTTCCAATGCCACAATGCCAGTATCCTCTCTTGGAGAGAGGAATGATTACATCTGTGCTATTTTCAGCTCACAGAGCAGAGTCCATTCACTGTCTGGAATAATAGTTAACAATTATAGGTCACATACAGTGTATTAGGCCTTGTGCTGAACATTTTATACATATTACCTCAATCCACACAAAAATCTATGGGGTAACAACTTTTGGTATCATCATTGTGTAAATGTGGAAATGGTGTCTTTGATCTTTCACCAAATGTCCCACAGCTCATGGGGGTTGGAGAACTTAGCTTTTACCTATCCCACTAGCCTTAGAAGATAGTTACTGAAATTTTTTTGTTTTGGTCTCTACTTTTGAATCTATGCTACTTAGGCTGCGATATTCACCTTCCACAGAGTTGGTGGAAAAGAAGCAGATGTTTCGTGTCTCCAGAGGGTTCTCATGGGTGAATTCAGGGGACCGAGTCTGGGGTTCTGACTCCCCAGTCAAGGATGAGTTGTCTACCTGGGATGGGAAAGAGGATGAGTTGTAAGGTGAGCGTGGGAAAAAAGGCAGGTTTGTTTATAAAGACAACATATCTGACAACACCATCATTGTCATACAGAGAAAAATCAATTTATACACTATCACCTTGACTCTAGCAAATTTGCACTTGTAACCTCTCAAAGGTTTTTTTTTTTTTTTTTTTGAGACAGAGCCTCAAGCTGTCCCCCTGGGTAGAGTGCCATGGCATCACAGCTCACAGTAACTTTACAGCCCCCCTGGGTTCAAGCGAATCTCCTGCCTCAGCCTCCTGAGTAGCTGGGACCACAGGCGCCCGCCACAATGCCCAGCCATTTTTTGGTTGCAGCCCTCATTTTTGTTTGGTGGACTGGGGCTGGATTCGAACCCGCCACCTTAGGTGTATGTGGCTGGCGTCTTAGCCAGTTGAGCCATAGGTGCCGAGCCACCTCTCAAAGTTTTGAATAGGTCCCTACAAGACCATGCTTGGCCTCTCCTCACAGCTTTCCACATCTCCTCACCTTAAATCCTTGCGAAGAGATAATCCGGAGGTCAGCAGGGATTCGATCTCCACCCTTCACTTCTACCAGGTCTCCCAACACCACTTCTTGTACGTTAATCTGCATCTTCTGTCCTCCTCGAATTACTAGCGCTTGCTATAGGAGGATAGAGCAGGGTCATTTCCAACACCTCTGCTTCCCCCATCCTACTCGTAGCCTGAAACCTCTTATTCTTGGTCTTGTTCCTTATTCCCTTTTCTTATTGTCACTTGTCACAACATTCTTGAAGGTGCCTTTAGTAGACTGCAAATTCCTACCATAGATGTCTGTTGGGCTCTTTGCACTGTGACATTGATGATGTTCAGATGAAAAGGTGGGGTCTATCTCTCCAACCCTAACACTGAGCTTGGCCATGTGACTTGCTTTGGACCACAGAACAGTAGCAAATGTGATGCAAGCAAAGGCTTAAAGGCTTTCATGTTGGGGCTCGCCCTGTTGTTTTGGGGAACCTCTGTGTCACTGTGTGAACAGGCTGAGCCAGCTTCCTGGGAAAAGAGAGATCAGGAAGAGAAGGCCTCAGCTGTCCTAGTCATCTCAGCTAAGGCTGCACACCTGTGAATGAAGTGATCTCAGACCATCCAGCACCAACTGAGCTCAGCACAGACCAGCATAACAGCCCAGCCAGAGTATTATGAAAAATGGAATTTTGTTTTCAGCTACTCAATTTTGAGGTGTTTGTGCGGCGGCAAAAACTAACTGACAATTTTCAAGATCCTAGTTTAAAACTATCAAAGCACTTTGTCCCCAAACTCCTACCCCAAAATGGAATTAGGTTATTTTAATACCAAAGGGGGAAGAAAATTCTGGGCTGCGATGCTAGAACATGATCATTATCTTTGGGAAACTTTGGAACACACTCCTTTCAAAGTTTCCAGCCTCAGGACCCCCTATACAGTCTTATTTTTTCCAGGTACTTTTAAAAACATTTTAATTTGAAAATAATATTTAAATTTCAGAAAAGCTGCAAGAATAAACATCAACACCTGTATAATCTCTACCCAGATTCACCTATTAACATTTTATTCTACCTGTTTTATCATTTGTTCCCTGTCTCTGTGTGTCTCTATGTTTTTCCTGAACTATTTAAAGATAAGTTACACACATCATGATCTCTTTCCTAAAATATTTCAATGTGCATTTCCTGAGCATTAAGATATTCTCTTAACTACAATATAGTTACCAATTTCAGTAAGTTTTCTTTTTTTTTTTTTTTTGCCGTTTGGCCAGGGCTGAGTTCGAACCCATCACCCTTGGTATATAGGGCCAGCGCCCTACTCACTGAGCCATAGGTGCCGCCCTCAGTAAGTTTTTCATTGATATTATACTTTACTGTTCATATTCCAGTTTTGTCAATTGACCCCAGGACATTCTTTATAGCATTATTTTCTCCTCTGACACAGTATCAGGTCTAAGGCCAGGTACTACATTTAGTTTTCATGTCTCCTCCGTCTCCTTTATTCTGGAACATTCCCACAGCTATTTTTTGCCTTTAATGTCATTGACATTGGAAGAAGCTAGCCTGTCCACCAACACCTGCCTTTCTTAAAAATAGAATGTTCTCATTTGTGGTTAGTCTGGTGTTTCCTCATTAGATTGAGACTGTACTCTCTAGCCCAGATGACTTCATAGGTTATGGTGTGTCTTTCCCAGGGTCTCACAACTTTTACGGGCGCTTTGAAGGCCTTATCACCAGCCTCAGCTCATTCATTGTACGATGTTCTGCAGGGGACTTCAGAGTTGTGTGTTTGGCCACATGCAACACCTCCTCTCACTAGATCCTCCCTCACCAGACCTACCTGTGGCACCAAGTTCTTAAAGGATTCCATGATCTTGGAGCTCTTGGACTCCTGGTAGTAGGAAAAACAGCCAGTGATGACCACCACCAGGACTAATACGCAGCCCAGGTACACCTAGGGTGGGGAGAGAAAGAATTCATCACTGGGTCCATCTCTCCCCCTTCATCCAAGAAGATCAGCTGGCAAGGGTAAGGGCAGTTTCTCCAGGTGCAAGAGACCATAGGGCTGAATCGGAGAGCAGAATCTGAGACTGGGCCAGCACACTTGGCTTCTTGGTGAAGGAACCCTGAGCTGTGGTGAACCCTCAGCAAAATCCCAGGTCAGAGGAGACCTGTATCTTCCTCTTCAGGAAGGATATTCATGTGGTGGGGAGCAGACAGATGGTGAGGGAGGCTGGGAGGAAGGAGATGAAGTTAAAATTGTGGGGAAGAGAAAGGGACTACAAAATGCTTTGATGCTCAATTGGAAAGATCATCAAAGGAGAGCAAGTTTTTTTGGGGGGAAATCCTGTACCCCAGGAAGCTGAACCAGTAGCTTTCTAGATAAAAGGGAAGGGGACCCAGGATGGACCAAGGGTTCCCTTAGAAAGTGCTGGGAGTATTAGGGATTTGAGGCAGAGGACCGCTGAACAGAAGAGAAACAAGGGCTGACACGAGACTGGGCTGGCCAGTATTAGTTGAACAGACTCACATTGTCTTTCGTAGACTCCTTTTGGAAATGTAACTGGACACCGTAGGCCACGAAGCAGAGAATGGCCCCAGTCCACAGGAGGAGGGAGAAGCCACCAAACAGTTGTTTACAGAATTTGATCCATTCTGGAGTGGTGGGAGGTGGCGTAAGTGTGTTGGGTCCATCTCTAAGCAGGATTTCCTTTGCCTTTTGGGGGCTAAGGCCCTGTGTGGAGAAGAAATAGGGATGGAGAAAAAGCTGTGAAAAGAGAGGCAGCTGTAGCAAAGGGAACCTACCATTTACAGCCCCAGCATGAGTCTAGGGACCAAAGAAGCTCTATGAAGCTCTAGATAAGGTAGGATTTAAAAGTTTGGTTTATAGAAGAGATATCATTTAGCATGCTTAAGTAGAAAGGTTTTTTTTTTTTTTTTTTTTTTTTTGGTTTTTGCAGTTTTTGGCCAGGGCGGGGTTTGAACCCACCATCTCTGGTATATCTGGCCAGTGCCCTACTCCTTTTAGCCACAGGCGCTGCCTGAAAGGTTTTTTGTTTTTTTTTAATTTATGGATTGATTCACAAACCTTTTTGAACTTGAGCAGGTGTCTTGAGGCCTGGTACCGTGGTAAGGTGCTGAGGCTACCAACACGAATAAGAATGATCCCTACCCTGGGCAGTGCCTGTGGCTCAAAGGAGTAGGGCACCGGCCCCATATGCTGGAGGTGACGGGTTCAAACCCAACCCCAGCCAACCCCCCCCCCAAAAAAAGAATGATTCCTATCCTTAGGAACCTCTAGTGGGGAGACAAATATGTATAGATAATTATAATGTGCAGGGCCAATGTAATGGTGAAATATCATATATAACTTTGATAACATATTGACACCTGCACTTTGTCCAACCTGGAATAAGATCTAGTGTCTGGTAGCATAAGAAGAATGACTATAGTTAACAATTTTTTTTTTTTTTTTGAGACAGAGCCTCAAGCTGTCCCCCTGGGTAGAGTGCCATGGCATCCCAGCTCACAGCAACCTCCAACTCCTGGGCTCAAGCGAGCCTCCTACCTCAGCCTCCCAAGTAGCTGGGACCACAGGTGCCAGCCACAATCAATGCCTGGCTGTTTTTTGGTTGCAGCCGTCATTGTTGTTTGGCGGGCCCAGGCTGGATTCCAACCCACCACCTTAGGTGTATGTGGCTGGCATCTTAGCCACTTGAGCCACAGGCGCCGAGCCAGTCAACAATAATTTATTGTATATTTCAAAACAACTAGAGGAGTGGATTTGGAATGTTACCAACACAAAAAAATGATAAGGTAAATGATACCTTACTTTGATCACCACACATCATATGTTTATATCAAAATATCACATGTACCCCATAAATACATACAATAATTATGTATCCATAAAAATTTTCAAAGAAATAGGCTGGGTGCAATGGCTTGCACCTATAATCTCAGCACTTTGGGAGGCTGAACTGAGAGGATTGCTGAGGCCAGGAGTTCAAGACTAGCCTGGGCAATATAGTGGGATCCCACCTGTACAATTACAAGAAAAGAAAAGAAGCCAGGTACAGTGGCTCATATCTATAATCTTACTGCTCTGGGAGGCCAAGGAGGGTGGATCACTTGAGTTCAGGAGTTCCAGACTAGCCCTGAGCAAGAGCAAGACCCTGTCTATACTAAAAATAGAAAATTAGCCAGGTGTGGTGGTGCATGCCTGTAGTCAAGGAGAATTACTTGAGCCCAGTAGTCTGAGGTTGCTGTGAGCTATCAGGGCACTCTAACTGGGGGCAACAGAGTGAGACTTTGTTTCCAAAAAAAAAAAAAAACCAGCTAAAGACATGAATTTGTAGATTCTCGTTCTGGTCTTGTGCACAGCTTATGTACTCATTTCTTTAAATAAAACTGATAGTAGAATAAAACCTACCAATCCTCGCTGGCCACTTCCCAACCTCCCCTGAAACATCCAAGGGATCTTAAGATTCTTTCAGGGATTCTCAAGATCAGTTTTCCTTCTCTACTAAACCATTTGCTCTTTTTCATTCTCATTCTCTTAAGAGTATATGGTGGAATTTTCCATTTCATAATCCAATATTCCAACAGATTTAACACAGAAAAATACAATAATCCAGCTATCTTCTATTAAAAGCTGGATATCAAAGAGGTTTGCAAAAGTGAGCCTATAGCTCAGCAGCTATAGGCTCCAGCCACATTCACTGGAGCTGGTGGGTTCGAATCCAGCCTGGCCTGCCAAACAACAATGGCAACTACAACCAAAAAATAGCCGGGCATTGAGGTGGGTGCCTGTAGTCCCAGCTACTTGGGAGGCTGAGGCAAGAGAATCGCTTAAGCCCAAGAGTTTGAGGTTGTGTGAGATGTGATGCCAGGGCACTCTACTGAGGGTGACATAGACTCTGTCTAAAAAAAAAAAAAGAAAAAAGTGCAAGATGCCATTAATTTTTTTTGTTTTTAAAAATATGGTTATCTGTCAAAAATATTACTTATGCTAACATACAATGGATTTATTCTTGTTATTTTTATTTTAAAAAATGTATTACTATTTTTGAGACAGAGTCTCACTATGTTGCTCTCAATACAGTGCTATGACATCATAGCTCACAGTAACCTCAAACTCCTGGGCTCAAGTGATTCTCTGGTCTCAGCCTCCTAAGTAGCTTGGGACTACAGGTGCCCACCACAACACACAGATATTTTTATTTTCTATTTTTAATTTTTTATTAAATCATAGCTGTGTACATTAATGTAATTATGGGGTACAATGTGTTAGTTTTATATACAGTTTGAAATGTTTTCATCAAACTGGTTAACATAGCCTTCATGGCATTTTCTTAGTTATTGGGTTAAGACATTTATATTCTACACCTAAATTTCACATGTACCCTTATAAGAAGCACTGTAGGTGTGGTCCCACCAATTACTCTCCACCCATTATCCCCCCTCTCTCTCCCCTTTTCCCTTCTTCTCGGGCTATAATTGGGTTATGGCTTTCATAAGAAAGCTATAAATTGATTTCATAGTAATCAGTACATTGGATACTTTTTCTTCCATTCTTGAGATACTTTGCTAAGAATAATTTGTTCTAACTCCATCCATGTAAACATGTAAGAGGTAAAGTCTCCATCTTTCTTTAAGGCTGCATAATATTCCATGGTGTACATATACTGCAATTTATCGATCCATTTATGGGTCAATGGGCACTTGGGCTTCTTCCAAGACTTAGCAATTATGAATTGGGCTGCAATAAACATTCTGGTACATATATCTTTGTTATAATGTGATTTTTGGTCTTCTGGATGTGTACCTAGTAGAGGAATTGTAGGATGGAATGGCAGGTCTATTTTTAGATCTCCAAACATCTTTCCAAAAGGAACATATTAGTTTGCATTCCCACCAGCAATGTATAAGTGTTCCCTTTTCTCTACATCCATGCCAACATCTCTGGTTTTGAGATTTTGTGATGTGGGCTAATCTTACTGGAGTTAGATGATATCTCAAAGTAGTTTTGATGTACATTTCTCTGATGATTAAGGATGATGAGCATTTTTTCATGTGTCTGTAGGCCGTATGCCTGTCTTCTTCAGAGAAGTTTCTCTTCAAGTCTCTTGCCCACCCTGAGATGGGATCACTTGTTCCTTTCTTGCTAATATGTTTGAGTTCTCTGTAACTCTGGTAACATGAATAACTGGAGTCTCGCACAGCTATTTTTAGAGACGAGGTCTTGCTATTACTCAGGTTGGTCTCAAACTCCTGAACTCAAGCAGTACACCCGTCTTGACCGCCCAAAGTGCTGGGATTACACATGTGAGCCTAATCTTGTTATTTTTAAACAAATTGTGAAATACTTTTCAAATTTCTCAACTGTAATTTTTTTTTTTTTAAATATTTATTTATTTATTTATTTATTTTTTGAGACAGAGCCTCAAGCTGTCCCCCTGGGTAGAGTGCCGTGGCATTACAGCTCACA